TTTTTTTCGATCCAAAATATGTATAAAATGTTTACTGATATCCCCTCCTTACATGTTAACATTTTTTATGCTAGCATTATAGGATGTTGATCAATGGCAGTTAAAACAGATTTCACACAGTGCCTGACAAACGAATGGCCTCGTTCGTTGTTATAACCTTTATTGCATCTAATATGTTTTCAACGTATGCCGTGGTAAAACTTTTTTGAATAAATATACATTACACTGTAAATCTGCCTTTTATGATGTTTTTATGCCCATAGACATTTATTTTGAATTAGTTCACTCTTTTAACTAGGCCACTGCTTTTGAGGTTGCACTGTGTATATTAATGAATATAAATAATAATTGTAGTTCATATAAGCTTTGAGTAATTATGAGTTTTATATTTCAACTCATACAGATTGTAGTTAGATGGCTCCGGTTAGTGCAGCTGAGATACAAAGGCATGTTTTTATATTGAAATAAAATAATTGTTTTGAAATGAAATGAAATATGTTTTTCTATTGAAATAAAAAATGTTTTTATATTGAAATAAAATGAAATATGTTTTTATATTGATATACATTTAAATATGTTTTATGCATTAAAAAGACGTTTGGACTATCATTTGTGAGTCATAGTCTATTCTAATGAATTAGGATCCTTATTATGCCTTTGGCTCCATGTTTCGATATAGTCTAATATTAGATTAACATTAGAATTGAATTATTATTATTATTATATATTGGTCCTACATAGGAATTCTTACCAAAACATAAATAAAGAAGACAAAACATAACTTTCTGCATCAACAAAATCCATTAAGTCAGTCCTGTCACAGCATTGTCAGTCCTGTCACAGGAAATTATAATATAAAAAACATTTTTTTGGAGATTATTGAAGAATTAATCTATTTAGCTGTGTAGATAAAGGTGGGGGTATATATACCCCCACCTTTATTTACACATGTGACCAATAAGTACATGCTATTTATAGGAAAAAAATCATTAGGAAATCATTCTAACATATGCAAATGTGTCTGTGACAGGGCCTGACATTTTAGAGATGAAATGCATATAAAAATTTATTTTATTCAATAAAAAACATGCTGAGGTGTCATAGTATGTGTTTCTCATAGTTTAACATCTCCTGCATATGACTCTATGTTTAGATTCAAGAATAACATAATTTTCCCCCAAAGATTTTGTAGAAGTGAAAATGAACGTTTCTGCTAGAATGTCCCTTGTACTAGAGAAAATAAAAGCAAGAGTATGCCATTTTATTGGGTACGACTCAATATTCAGGGCATTTTATTGGGTACGACTCAATATTCAGGGCATTTTATTGGGTACGACTCAATATTCAGGGCATTTTATTGGGTTAGACTCAATGTTCAGGGCATTTTATTGGGTACGACTCAATATTCAGGGCATTTTATTGGCTTAGACTCAATATTCAGGGCATTTTATTGTCTTAGACTCAATATTCAGGGCATTTTATTGGTTACGACTCAATATTCGGGGCATTTTATTGGGTACGACTCAATATTCAGGGCATTTCATTGGGTACGACTCAATATTCAGGGCATTTTATTGGGTACGACTCAATATTCAGGGCATTTTATTGGGTTAGACTCAATGTTCAGGGCATTTTATTGGGTACGACTCAATATTCAGGGCATTTTATTGGGTTAAACTCAATATTCAGGGCATTTTATTGGATACGACTCAATATTCAGGGCATTTTATTGGCTTAGACTCAATATTCAGGGCATTTTATTGTCTTAGACTCAATATTCAGGGCATTTTATTGGTTACGACTCAATATTCGGGGCATTTTATTGGGTTAGACTCAATGTTCAGGGCATTTTATTGGGTACGACTCAATATTCAGGGCATTTTATTGGGTACGACTCAATATTCAGGGCATTTCATTGGGTACGACTCAATATTCAGGACATTTTATTGGGTACGACTCAATATTCAGGGCATTTTATTGGGTTAGACTCAATGTTCAGGGCATTTTAGTGGGTACGACTCAATATTCAGGGCATTTTATTGGGTTAGACTTAATGTTCAGGGCATTTTATTGGGTACGACTCAATATTCAGGGCATTTTATTGGGTTAAACTCAATATTCAGGGCATTTTATTGGATACGACTCAATATTCAGGGCATTTTATTGTCTTAGACTCAATATTCAGGGCATTTTATTGGGTTAAACTCAATATTCAGGGCATTTTATTGGCTTAGACTCAATATTCAGGGCATTTTATTGTCTTAGACTCAATATTCAGGGCATTTTATTGGACATTTTTCACAGTGGAGTGATTATTAGCCTTTGATGTAGTGGGTCCAGCATCACAAAACAACAGCTGATCTGTGATCTTCAGAACATCTCTTGAGTTTAGGAAATGGTGTGAAAAACAAAAATCTACTGAGTGTCAGATCTGTGGGTGAAAACTCCATGTTAATGAGGTCATAGAGGAGGTCAATGGAGGGGTTAATGTAGAGTGACCAGGGCTTTATCAAGCTCACGGAAAGGCTTCAAATACTAAAATAACCACTGAACAACAGTGTGGTGTGCAGGAGGTCATCTTTTGAATGAACAACATGTAAAACTTTGAAGTGGGTGGAGGCAAGTGGGGTGCCTACCAAATATGTTTACCTGATAAACCTGTGAACATCGTATTGTGCTTCAGTCCAATGCGTAATGTGCCCAACATAGTGTGTAGTGGGCCCAACATAGTGCGTAGTGTGCCCAACATAGTGCGTAGTGTGCACAACATAGTGCGTAATGTGCCCAACATAGTGCGTAATGTGCCCAACATAGTGCGTAGTGTGCCCAACATAGTGCGTAGTGTGCACAACATAGTGCGTAATGTGCCCAACATAGTGCGTAATGTGCCCAACATAGTGCGTAGTGTGCCCAACATAGTGCGTAGTGTGCCCAACATAGTGCGTAGTGTGCCCAACATAGTGCGTAGTGTGCCCAACATAGTGCGTAGTGTGCCCAACATAGTGCGTAGTGTGCCCAACATAGTGCATAGTGTGCCCAACATAGTGCGTAGTGTGCCCAACATAGTGCGTAGTGTGCCCAACATAGTGCATAGTGTGCCCAACATAGTGCGTAGTGTACCCAACATAGTGCGTAGTGTGCCCAACATAGTGCGTAGTGTGCCCAACATAGTGCGTAGTGTGCCCAACATAGTGCGTAGTGTACCCTGCAACACCCTGGCTGTGATCCTCTTGTCCTTTCTACCTGCAGACTTGTGTTAAAGGTGCCTTCATTGTCTCTCTTCTGTTCAGCACTAACGTTGAATTGATTTAACACAGTTGAAATACTGTGGTAGATTGACAAGGAGAAAAAGCTTCATTAAGCAGTTGGAACCACTGTGTTGTGTTCAGGGGGTAGAGCGTCAGATGAACCTAATTCTAGCTCACAGTATTCAGCAGCTCTCCAGCACTTATCTGCAGCTGAAGACAGTGTAACCAAATGAGTTTTAATGCAACCTTCCCCTTTTTCCTCTCTTCTAATCTCCACTGCCCTATCATAATAATCTCAGTTTCATCTATTTGAAGTTGGCTTGATCTTTTCCCCACATCTCTTTTCCCCACACCTCTTTTCCTCACAGCTCTTTTCCCCACACCTCTTTTCTCCACACCTCTTTTCCCCACACCTCTTTTCCCCACACCTCTTTTCTGCACACTTCTTTTCCCCACACCTCTTTTCCCACACCTATTTTCTCCACACCTATTTTCTCGACACCTCTTTTCACCACACCTCTTTTCCCCACACCTTTTTCCCACACCTCTTTTCCCCACACCTCTTTTCTCCACACCTCTTTTCCCCACACCTCTTTTCTCCACACCTTTTCCCCACACCTTTTTCTCCACAACTCTTTTCCCCACACCTCTTTTCCCCACACCTCTTTTCTCCACACCTCTTTTCCCCACACCTCTTTTCTCCAAACCTCTTTTCTCCACACCCTCTTTTCTCCACACCTCTTTTTCCTCACACCTTTTTCCTCACACCTCTTTTCCCCACACCTCTTGTCTCCACACCTCTTTTCCCCACAGCTCTTTTCTCCACACCTATTTTCCCCACACCTCTTTTCTCCACACCTCTTTTCCCCACACCTCTGTTCCCCACACCTCTTGCCTCCCCACCTCTTTTCTCCACACCTATTTTCCCCACACCTCTTTTCCCCACATCTCTTTTTCCTCACACCTCTTTTCCCCACACCTCTTGTCTCCGCACCTCTTTTCCCCACACCTCTTTTCTCCACACCTCTTTTACCCACACCTCTTTTCTCCACACCTCTTTTCCCCACACCTCTTTTCCCTACACCTTTTCCTCACATCTCTTTTCCCCACATCTCTTTTCTCCACACCTCTTTTCCCCACACCTCTTTTCTCTACACCTCTTTTCCCCACACCTCTTTTCCCCACACCTCTTTTCTCCACACCTCTTTTCCCCAAACCTCTTTTACCCACACCTCTTTTCTCCACACCTTCTTTGCTCCACACCTCTTTTCCCCACACCTCTTTTCCCCACACCTCTTTTCCCCACACCTCTTTTCCCCACATCATCTTTTCCCCACACCTTCTTTTCGGCACACCTCTTTTCCCCACACCTTCTTTTCCGCACACCTCTTTTCCCCACACCTCTTTTCCCCACACCTTCTTTTCCCCACACCCCTTTTCTGCTATTTCCGTTAATAAAGTGTTCCCCAGGGCCCTGGACACTCTGTGTTCCTTCCCTGTGTTTCTTTAATTCCAATATACATGCAAACATAAACCAATACTTTAAGGAGTATGACTGAACTGATTAGCTGGTTAACATAATTAGTATATCCACTCTTAATTGGATATTAAAGTTTGAATATGGCAACATATCAAGGCCATAACATGATTAAAATAGGATTTAATATTATTTTGGTTATTGGTGATCTATTCGGATTGGCATTGCCAATTTTTATTTAGCAGGTAGGCCGATTGAGAACAACAGCAACCTGGCGAGAAGCTGGGAATTGAACCCCTCATACATGCAGAGCATGTACTCTACCACTGAGATACCAACTCCTCCAATAGGAACCCAGGACATCATACATACAGAGCATGCACTCTACCACTGAGATACCAACTCCTCCAATAGGAACCCAGGACATCATACATACAGAGCATGCACTCTACCACTGAGATACCAACTCCTCCAATAGGAACCCAGGACATCATACATACAGAGCATGTACTCTACCACTGAGATACCAACTCCTCCAATAGGAACCCAGGACATCATACATACAGAGCATGCACTCTACCACTGAGATACCAACTCCTCCAATAGGAACCCAGGACATCATACATACAGAGCATGCACTCTACCACTGAGATACCAACTCCTCCAATAGGAACCCGGGACATCATACATACAGAGCATGCCCTCTACCACTGAGATACTAACTCCTCCAATAGGAACCCAGGACATCATACATACAGAGCATGCCCTCTACCACTGAGATACTAACTCCTCCAATAGGAACCCAGGACATCATACATACAGAGCATGTACTCTACCACTGAGATACCAACTCCTCCAATAGGAACCCAGGACATCATACATACAGAGCATGCACTCTACCACTGAGATACTAACTCCTCCAATAGGAACCCAGGACATCATACATACAGAGCATGCACTCTACCACTGAGATACTAACTCCTCCAATAGGAACCCAGGACATCATACATACGGAGCATGCCCTCTACCACTGAGATACCAACTCCTCTAATAGGAACCCAGGATATCATACATACAGAGCATGCCCTCTACCACTGAGATACCAACTCCTCCAATAGGAACCCAGGACATCATACACACAGAGCAGGCACTCTACCACTGAGATACCAACTCCTCCAATAGGAACCCAGGACATCATACATACAGAGCATGCACTCTACCACTGAGATACTAACTCCTCCAATAGGAACCCAGGACATTATACATACAGAGCATGCACTCTACCACTGAGATACTAACTCCTCCAATAGGAACCCAGGACATCATACACACAGAACATGCACTCTACCACTGAGATACCAACTCCTCCAATAGGAACCCAGGACATCATACATACAGAGCATGCCCTCTACCACTGAGATACTAACTCCTCCAATAGGAACCCAGGACATCATACATACAGAGCATGCACTCTACCACTGAGATACCAACTCCTCCAATAGGAACCCAGGACATCATACATACAGAGCATGCACTCTACCACTGAGATACCAACTCCTCCAATAGGAACCCAGGACATCATACATACAGAGCATGTACTCTACCACTGAGATACCAACTCCTCCAATAGGAACCCAGGACATTATACATACAGAGCATGTACTCTACCACTGAGATACCAACTCCTCCAATAGGAACCCAGGACATCATACATACAGAGCATGTACTCTACCACTGAGATACCAACTCCTCCAATAGGAACCCAGGACATCATACATACAGAGCATGCACTCTACCACTGAGATACCAACTCCTCCAAACATTTATAATCAAGGTTTTGCTGAGATACACCATGTGGTTTAAAATAGCTGCAGCCTTCATCCATTCAGTATATTCACCCAACTACAAGGCTTAGATAGTTTAGATGAGGACAAGAAACAAACTGCTGCAGGGAAACATTTGATACTGAACTTTGGTTGTAAAAGCTCAGTTAGGGGAAACCAAACAACCAACAATAAAACGAAAACATTAAAGGCATCAATGCAACTAAACAAAGGTGTTATTGGATTGAATTCAAATATCTCAAATTGGTTAAAGTGGTCCAGGTGCATTTTTGATTGAATACACATGGATGACATAATGTAAATGCAGTCATTGGTTTAATGTTTCACTGTATTACCATGGATGACATAATGTAAATGCAGTCATTGGTTTAATGTTTCACTGTATTACCATGGATGACATAATGTAAATGCAGTCATTGGTTTAATGTTTCACTGTATTACCATGGATGACATAATGTAAATGCAGTCATTGGTTTAATGTTTCACTGTATTACCATGGATGACATAATGTAAATGCAGTCATTGGTTTAATGTTTCACTGTATTACCATGGATGACATAATGTAAATGCAGTCATTGGTTTAATGTTTCACTGTATTACCATGGATGACATAATGTAAATGCAGTCATTGGTTTAATGTTTCACTGTATTACCATGGATGACATAATGTAAATGCAGTTATTGGTTTAATGTTTCACTGTATTACCATGGATGACATAATGTAAATGCAGTCATTGGTTTAATGTTTCACTGTATTACCATGGATGACATAATGTAAATGCAGTCATTGGTTTAATGTTTCACTGTATTACCATGGATGACATAATGTAAATGCAGTTATTGGTTTAATGTTTCACTGTATTACCATGGATGACATAATGTAAATGCAGTCATTGGTTTAATGTTTCACTGTATACACATGGATGGTAACATGTAAATGCAGTCATTGGTTTAATGTTTCACTGTATTACCATGGATGACATAATGTAAATGCAGTTATTGGTTTAATGTTTCACTGTATTACCATGGATGACATAATGTAAATGCAGTCATTGGTTTAATGTTTCACTGTATACACATGGATGGTAACATGTAAATGCAGTCAATGGTTTAATGTTTCACTGTATTACCATGGATGACATAATGTAAATGCAGTCATTGGTTTAATGTTTCACTGTATACACATGGATGGTAACATGTAAATGCAGTCAATGGTTTAATGTTTCACTGTATTACCATGGATGACATAATGTAAATGCAGTCATTGGTTTAATGTTTCACTGTATTACCATGGATGACATAATGTAAATGCAGTCATTGGTTTAATGTTTCACTGTATACACATGGATGGTAACATGTAAATGCAGTCATCACTGTATTACCATGGATTTACCATGGTTTAATGTTTCACTGTATTACCATGGATGACATAATGTAAATGCAGTCAATGGTTTAATGTTTCACTGTATTACCATGGATGACATAATGTAAATGCAGTCAATGGTTTAATGTTTCACTGTATTACCATGGATGACATAATGTAAATGCAGTCATTGGTTTAATGTTTCACTGTATACACATGGATGGTAACATGTAAATGCAGTCATTGGTTTAATGTTTCACTGTATTACCATGGATGACATAATGTAAATGCAGTCATTGGTCTAATATTTCACTGTATTACCATGGATGACATAATGTAAATGCAGTTATTGGTTTAATGTTTCACTGTATTGTCATGGATGACATAATGTAAATGCAGTCATTGGTTTAATGTTTCACTGTATTACCATGGATGACATAATGTAAATGCAGTCATTGGTCTAATGTTTCACTGTATTACCATGGATTAGTGACAAATCACCTTGACTCCATCTGCTCAGATGGTAATTTGCAACTGGGCCAAATCAATGCTCACAAAATGCAACAAATGGAAATCGGATGAAACGTAATATAATTTGAAGCAGATTTGGGTAAAATCTGTTCCCCTCACTGTGCAGCAAATGTCCAGCTACCCTCGAGTCTGAAAACGTCTGTCAGGGTGAACAATAAGAAGAAGAAACGGACATGTTATCATGCACAATCTGCCTCAACCTCTTCTTTATTAACTTATAAATAAATGGATACGTAGCAGCAAAACATGTCCTTCTAGGTACCCACGCCATATGAATCTCCTGCCCAGACACACTCACAGTAGAATAATCTGTCAGACTTAGTCTTCGTTACCCATTAAGAACAGTCCATTCCTGCCACAATAGGAATTGTCTATATATGCTTAGTCTACATTCAATCTTCTGTCATAACATCTCAGTCCAGTGAACAATTTGATACATTGTAATGTTGTTGTGGTGCCACAAGGTATGAAACCAACCTTGTTATTTGCGATCTTCTGGAGAAATACTACACTACCCACAATTCTAAGCAAAACAATGTCTTCCCTGATTGGTCGAACCCGTGGACGTCTTAAGCTGTCTAGTCACCATAGCTCTACCCACCACCAGTCTACGCTCTAATAGGTACACTGCCTTAGTCACTCCGAAAGCCTGCACAACATTTGGCCACGAATCCTTCCAGTTTTCTGCCACCAATGACTGGAACGAACTACAAAGAATCCTAAAACTCTAAACCCTCATCTCACCAGTTGCCATCAAACTAATCCTGTCTGAAATCTTGTCCGGTGACTGTTTGTGTTAACTGTCATCTGGTTTCCACCCACCCATTATTTTCACTTATGCCCATTTTGCACAGTGGATCTGTATAAACACACATGGAAGGACAGCGTTGGTACACTGGTGTAAATAGTAGATGCCTGTATAAACACACATGGAAGGACAGCGTTGGTACACTGGTGTAAATAGTAGATGCCTGTATAAACACACATGGAAGGACAGCGTTGGTACACTGGTGTAAATAGTAGATGCCTTTATAAACACACATGGAAGGACCGCGTTGGTACACTGGTGTAAATAGTAGATGTCTTTATAAACACACATGGAAGGACAGCGTTGGTACACTGGTGTAAATAGTAGATGCCTTTATAAACACACATGGAAGGACAGCGTTGGTACACTGGTGTAAATAGTAGATGCCTTTATAAACACACATGGAAGGACAGCGTTGGTACACTGGTGTAAATAGTAGATGCCTTTATAAACACACATGGAAGGACCGCGTTGGTACACTGGTGTAAATAGTAGATGTCTTTATAAACACACATGGAAGGACAGCGTTGGTACACTGGTGTAAATAGTAGATGCCTTTATAAACACACATGGAAGGACAGCGTTGGTACACTGGTGTAAATAGTAGATGCCTTTATAAACACACATGGAAGGACAGCGTTGGTACACTGGTGTAAATAGTAGATGCCTTTATAAACACACATGGAAGGACAGCGTTGGTACACTGGTGTAAATAGTAGATGCCTGTAAACACACATGGAAGGACAGAGGGTGTCCAGGAATGCTCTCATTTGGGATTCAGCAATAGTGTCACGA